GGAGTTCAAACACACAGAATAACGTTCCACACTTTAAACGTTTTCTCAACTTGAAAAACCAACTGAGAGCTGGTGTCCAATGGAATCAGAGACGAATTAAATATGACGCTTTAATTCACAACAGATTTGCCCTCTATGTGAATCAGAAGTGAAAGAGCCTAGTAAAGTGTTCCAGCAGAGAATGTGTGTAGCCAGAGACATAGCATTCACAGTCAGTCAGACCTTTTGTGACACAAAAAGTGTATTTCCATGATTACTCTTTTTGGAAGTCCGCTTAAGTATTTTCCATCTTGGATAATGAGGGGAGTCATATTTTCATGGTCATTTTCTTGTCAGTCTCAGTGTTTGGTTGCGTCAGGCTGATCTTCTATCTTGATGAAGCCTAGATCCTGCTTTTAGGAGTAAAATTGTGAAGGCAAGTAAGGAAGGACATTGTGAGTTCAGTAATGATCACTGAAACATTATACCCATTTTTTAGCATGTAGATCTTATTCCACACTATATTGAGGAAAAATCTGTAAGACTACTTGCAGTGATGTTTGAACGCCAAGAATGCTTGCAAATTCAATAAACGTGGATACCCTATATGCTCTCAAGTTTTTCGTTTTTAATTATTTAGGGGTTGTAACGTGTGGCAATTTAACGTTTATGAACTTTTTTTAAAAGCAATTTTAAGTTTTTTTTTTTAATTAATAATTACTCTATACGCTCAAATACTTGATTCTGATTGGTTGATTGCGGCATTTAGCTGTCAGATATTTCCCAGTATTAATGTAACTCGATGCTCATTAATGTAACCATACTCGTCGATGCTTAACCCTTGTGCCTCTTAGCGTTTTTTTCATTTTTTGATCATTTTGGCTGTTAATGCAAAGCCAAAAATGTATTTTTTTTAATTTAAAATTTTAATATTTCACCCTCATTTATTTTCATAAATCTATTTTACACTAGATATAAAAAGTTGCACATTTAAAGACAAAAATGTCACCATTGAAACCCGTTAACAGTGCGTGCCATTTAAAAATAAGCACTATTTGTTAATGGGCTGTCATTCTGCTGGCAAGGCTTTTCTCCTCTGTAACCTTTTTAAAATTGACGTACAAGGATTAAATTCGCGCTACTTGAAACGCCTTGCGTAGCAAACGCCGGACTCGCGCCACTGATCTATAATAGAGATCATTATATAGGGTGAACTGCCCTAAAGTGGGACCCTGGCTAATGTGGGACAGCTAAGGTCTAGTATTTATAGCTCCCCCATAAATACATGAATGCCAATGGGTTAGCCAAAGCTGATCAAAATCCCATGACCTCTCAGATGTTCAGTCATATTTGAGGGCGGAGCAATCATCAGACAAGAAGCACATTGTGTGAACGCCATCCAAAGATCAGAGACATAAAGTTTTGACAAACTTGATATTAAGGTGTATAAATTAATTTGAAACAAAACAGTCCTGCTATGTTTTTGGTCTAATGTGCATATGAAATGTTTGTCCATCAAAATATAGTGTAACTTTGTATGTATACATTATATATTTAATATTTTTTTTAATCAAATTTCCTAGTGTCCCAGTTTAGGAAATGTGGCAGCTTTACAGAAAATTACGTTTCTACAATATATTTAGTAGTTGCTTATCAGTGGTGACTATGTCAGTTAATGTACATATGGCAGAAATTTACGGAAAAATCAATTAAAGACGTAACCAAACAGACGATGAACACTATTAACAGCAATTATTATATGTTGCAATCAAACTTTGGTATTTCTGTATGTTGTTTCAGGGTTGGCATCATCTGAGGTCCTCTGAGGGGTTTGCATCATCTGTTCTCAGGTGTTCTGGATCCAGACTGAAGCTTGTGTAAATCCTAGTTACCACGGGATGTCAATCCCATGGCAGAAACAGAAAAACAAATAGAGACATAATTAGCGTAGCTGCTGTTCCAACCAAGCAAAATTGATTTGTTTAACCCAAGCTAAAGAATAATAATGTGTATTTGATCAGATATAACTGCAGTACAAGATTATGAGATGCATTACTTGAATGAGGCCAAAGAGATGAGTCTTTAATATAGATTTAAACAGAGAGAGTGTGTCTGAACCCCAAACGTTATCAGGAAGGCTATTCCAGATTTTGGGAGCCAAATGCGAAAAAGCTCTACCTAGGTACTTCCAAAAGTCCAGAGTTTTGCGACCTTAGGGAGCGTGATGGATTGTAGCGTGGTAGAAGACTAGTTAGGTAAGCAGGAGCTAAACCATTAAGAACCTTATAGGTAAGTAATAATATTTTGTTACTGATACAGAACTTAATAGGTAGCCAGTGCAGAGACTGTAAAATTGGGGTAATATGAT